CTCCATCTTGGCTCCTTTGCTCATCCCTCCTCCGTCTCCACAATTGGATTCCAGGGGTATGGTTCAGTGCTTAGCTGTGGGTGCCTGTTTCTGCTTCGAAAAGCTACTGGATGAAGGCTCTGGGAATGGTAACCAAGGTAGACATCACTCTCATTATAGGGGAAGGGCATCAAAGGCAGCCTCTCCACCACAGCCTAAATTCTTAGTTGGGGTCATCCCTGTGGATCCCCTAACATTTCTCCTGTGCCAGACCTCTCTCCATACCTGTACTGTCTCCCTCTATCAAGTTATCTCCTTTCTTGCCTTCCTCTATTGCTCCCCTGTCTCAGTCCCCTTGTTCTCCTCCCCCTCCCCTTCCCACCTCTCCCTCTCAGTGCTCCCAATTTTCTCAGGGGTTCTTGTCCTCCTCTCCTTCTTTGAGGGACTATGAAATCTTCTCTTGGGGTCCCATGAGGCACTTCTTGTGTAATAGTAATAAGTGTGATTATGTGACTGTTTTAGAGCAGTGAGATGTGAGCATAGTGCTAGGTGTAGATACTGAGATGTACATTTGATTACAAGATTCTTTGAGTCAGTCCTATAGCTCAAGATGGGGTTGCTTTACAGGCTGAATAAAAATGCCACAAATAGCTCCCAATATAAAGTAATTCCCACCTTAATTAGAGAAATAAAACATCAGCTTATGGTAACAGTTTTTTAAAATTATAATCACATTAGTTATCTAATTAATTGTATATGTGTGAATATTTTGCTTCTATGTATGCCTATACACTAAATACATGCCTACTGGTCAAGGAAGCTAGAAATGGGTGTCAGAGCCCTTGGAACTGAAGTTATTTATAGTTCTAAGTCATCGCTGAACCTGGGTCCTGTGGACGATTAGCAAGTTATTTTAATCCCTGAACCATCTCTACAGGCCCAGCATCATATTAACTTTAAGGATGATGCAAGAAATTCCTATAAAGTTAGTGGTTTGACACAACAGAAACACTTTATTTCGTGCTTTGGAGGTCAGACTTCTAATTTGGTGTAATAAGGCAATATCACAGGGCATAGCACCCCACCCTTCTGGAGACACTGTTTATTATTTGCACATGATGTCTTCATCATCTGTCTACACTCTTTCTTGTCACCTGTCCTCCCATCATAGCACCCTATTTGCTCATAGGTCCATAGCTCTGACATCTCTGCCCTTTCTTGCCTGGACACTGATGATCTGGTGGGACTGCACTGTACTGTACTAATGGACCAAGACAATGCAACATTCAATTGAGATATGAATAGAGCAAAAGGAAAGTATGAAAAAGGCACTAAAGAAAATAGTTTAAATAACTAAATATATTGCCAAATGGAGAGCAACTGTGAGAAAAAACCAAATGGTTCATTTGAGCCACTAAACTGTGGTACCTTGTCATGGCAACCCTAGGAATAAACACAGAAACCTGGAAGAAAAGATAACGTAGTACAGGTTCTCAAAGACGTAGCACTCAGTGAAAAACCTGAGATCAGATGAATAAGGAACTGGAAGACAGAGGACAGGATGAAGAGCCTAATTGAGAAAGAATGGTGGCTGAGCATTTCCAGAGACATTTTTGAAGCGACATTTCACCCCTAGTCCTGTCACTGGCCTGCATGTGAATTTCAGTGTCTCAGGCAGTAAGCAAAGAGAGTGAATGCAGTGTAAAGAGCCAAGCAATTCCATCAGCTGCTTTGCAAGTGACTTCTTGGCTCTGTTGCACCTCAGAGTTATAGTGATTTAAGTGGAATTTGCCTGAGAAGAATTTTGTTAGATGAAATATGAAATGACTGTTTCTGAAGCATTATCTGCAAGGATGCTTCTACCCACCTGTCACAATTGATGTAATCTCAGAGCAGTGCTGAGGACTTTGGCTGTTGGCCCTCAGACAATGTTTGACCTTCCCTCCTATGGCAGTCCTTGTATTTACCTGAAGTCCTTGCGTACCATTGGCAGAGGTGGACAGAGGCAGAGAGATTACTGTCTTCCTGGGTTAGGCTCACCTGTGAGTCCCAACAATAGAGGCAGCAGCATGACACCATGAGGCGTGTGTGGCCCTCTGTCAAGGTCAAACATGTTGAGAGGTAAGGAGCTAGCTCAGCCGAGTGTCTGTGCTTGTGAGATCCCAGGTCCTGATCTGCAGAAAAAAGAGATACTGTGCCTTATCCTAAATAAAGGGTGTGTTTGTGTTATGGTGAAACAGGAACCATACCAGTTATTTTGAAATAGAAACACAGTGTTGCAATCTGCTTAGGGGTGGAGTTATTTATCATTCAGTTTTAGAGGAACTCAGATAAATCTAGGGAAAGTAATCCCTTCTCTTTCTCCAGACTCTATATTGCATCCACTTGGTCTCAGATCATTTTCTCTTACTATATCACCCACTGGAATCCAGGACATAAAGTTTTTCCAAACACCTAATTCTAAGACCCTTCCTGTTGATTTGAGGCCTATTTCTTCTAGACTTACTTGAGAATTCTCACTTAAGCACATATGATGCTTGTGAGAGAAGCTCAGTGCTGGAGTAAACAAGCTGTTCTCCTGGAATGGCGTTTAGAAACCCTTCTTTGATCCTGGTAAATGAAGTCCAAGGGAACCTTAAGAGTATATTTGTTGCCACAAATCTATCAGAATCTGCTAGGGGTAGAATTACTTGCCAACTTAATACAGGGGAAACATGTCTCCAGAAACATCAGTGAGAGATTGTTTAACTTTACAATGTCTCTGACTGTCTGTGAGGGCTTGTCCTTTATTAATTTATTTGGGAAAACACATCTTAATTTCAGTATCCATTTCAGACTAAAAGTGTAACATTTTTTGCTAGACAACTTCCAACACCGAAACAAATTCTTTAGATAAATCAACTAGTAACAGCAGAAGCGGCACTGAAATTTTGACCAGAATAATTTCCTAAGCAAATACCATTTGAACTCTAAATTGGAGAGAGCCAACTCAATACAAGCATACTTGCACTAATTCATTTCCCCCTGTTCTTGTCTATGGATATAATGTGACTCTGCTTCAATGTTTTGCCACCTTGAATTCACTGCAGTGATTAACTGTAATTTGGAGGTGTGATCCCAAATAATTACTTGTTTTATTAAGTTTTCTTTACCAGGAAATTTTATCATAGCATAAAAAAATCTTTCCAGAGAGCAAGTGGAAACACTTTAATGAATGTTTACTTAATGGAGCATGAAAGGGAATAGCACTATATTGAGAAGGG